CATCAAAATCCAGCATTTGTAAGAAGTTTAATAATTTTTATTATGAAGTCATATTTTCCCCCCTCTTTATTTTAACTAACCAAATAGCTTTCAGTGAGTTTTCTAGTGAAGAATGAAGCACCCTTCTAAGAAATTTATATTAGTTGCCATACAACTTGATTATCTGAATTTAAAGAGAAGGTGGTGGTTGTTACATGCTGTCGAGTTGGATCCGACTCATAGCGACCCCTCCTTGGGTTTCTGAGGCAGTATCACTACGGAAGTAGATTGCCTAACCTTCCTTCTGAGGAGTGGCTTTATTATTCAAATAGGATTTTTGGAATTTGAATTTTGAAAGTTATTGCTTTGAGATTTTTAGATCCCAGCCATTATAATTATGACATTCTCATACTAAAAAATATTTAGTGAACAAATCAAAGTTGATCTAAAGCCATAACCCAGTCTAGGACTCCACCATATTTCTAAGAATCAGTTGGTGTGATTTACGATATATGGTCTTTCATGACCTTTATTATAGAAAGAAGATGAGAAATTGGAGAATTAAGCTATACAGAAGGTAAAATACTTAAATCGTAGGCTTAAAGTATGTTATCATTGAAAGTAAAACTACTCATTAGCCCATTAATTGGTCTTTGCTTTGCCTGACTAATTAAATTCTGTGTTAATAGTTGTCAGTTGACTAAACAGGTTTTAAAATTTAATGTAAGCTTTCAAACTTTAGTTGCTGATATTTAGTTTGCTCATCTAGGGATTTAGGGATATATGTATAATTGGGTTTTGTCATGTTGCATATCTGTTTAGATCTGTGGACTCCACTAGTTCCAAACTGTAACTCTATAAGACTGCTGATTCGACGTTTAGCAGTGACCATATGTGGACTGCACTATAAATAATGTGCTTCTTGGAGCTGAATGGTGTAGCATTACTATGTGGCTTTTCTCTCCAGTCTTCATTGTGTCATCTGTAGTGAGCTAGAGATTTTTTGTTTTGGGAATTTTTACAACTTATTGTTTGCATGGGTTCACCTATTAGCATTCGGTTCTTGCTTATAGAATCTTTAATACACAATCAGCAAAGCTTACAATCCACTCAAGAGACCTACCATTTTTGTCACTGTTGAAAATGAGCTAAATGGTGTAAATTGAATGTGGCTGACAACTAAAAGAAAGTTCAGTGTGGAATTAATATTCATCCAGTCGCTGACATACCTATTGTATAGTTTTCTCATGAGACGTGATAGTCTATTTCTTGCTACAAAAACTTGGAATCAGCTCCATACAGTAAAGTACATTTTTATCTGTGGTTTGGCAGACTACAGTTATATAGATTGGTGGTGCTGTTGCAAAATGATCATTGTTACTGTGGTATATAGCTCTGTGGAGCAGCGAGAAATTTCTGGGAAACTTTTCTGCTTGGTAAATACCAAAAAATTGTTGAGGGATGGCTTAGACAATTAATAGTGAGGTCTTTTTTATTGCTGATACTGTGTTTCAGCATATTGGTAGTTGTTTTAACACATTTCTTGCTTTTAAAGATCTTTCCATTTAAAAATTATATCCCTCTTTCTCATTCCTATACTGTCTTAAACATATAATACCATAAAAAACACATCAGCTGCCATTGAGTTGATTCCGACTTACAGTGACCCTATAGGACAGAGTAGAACTGCCCCATAGTGTTTCCAAGGCTGTATCTTTGTGGAAGCAGGCTACCCATCTTTCTTCTGTGGAGCAGCTAGTGGGTTCTGACTGCTGACCTTTTGGTTAGCATCTGAATGCTTTAACCATTATACTACCAGAGCTCCTTGCATATGATAGAGGGGAAAAAAGGATATGAATATAGTATCTTACTTGTACATTTAAGTTGGAAATAGAAAAAATGGTAAAGGACAACTGAGGTAATTTTCGTGAAAAAAGTGTAAATTTTCAGCTCAGTTTCACAGTTTAACCAAAATTAGAAGAACTTCATATCCAAAGATGCCACCATACTGCCACCATTTTTGGGTTTTGAGTACAGAGTATAACAGATAGGTTGTTTGTGGGAACTCTGTGAATCATGTGGAAAACCAGCTTTTTGCCTACCACTTTTAGGCAAAATTCAGTTGCCTTACTCATTAGTCTAAAATTAGGATTTCCTTGCAGTTCTTCCATGTGCATTGAAACTTTGAAACAGACTGCCACTCTCATGTCTTTTTGGTAGTCGTAAACCAGGTTGTGTTAGAAAAGAAGAAAATGTCTGCTATTCATTTTTGGTTCTGAGATTATAATTAAACAACAAATTATGTATTTTATTTAAAAAAGCCACAAAGATTTTTACTAGTCACTATTATAATCACTTACCTAGTAACTACTTACACTCTTTTACTGTTTTAGAGATCAATTTAGTGATCATTGCCTTAATCTGTCAGTGGACCAGAAGTTAGTCCAGTTTAGTGGTGTAACAATCATAGGTACAGCAAGGATTGTGAAGCTGGCACAGGACCGAGCAGTGTTGTACACAGAGTCGCTAGGAGTAGGAGCTGACTTAATGGCACCCTGCTGCAACAACAACAACAGCAGCTGTCGTCATGGAAATACTTGGCAAAATCACAACTCTAAACAGAAAGACTAGATTAGTTGTTTTCCCAGGCTGGTGATTGCGTCCTTTGTTCTGTCAGGAGCAGTGAGAGTTCAGTGAGCATTTAAACATTTCCAAGGAAGACACATCTACTTTGCCCTACATTGTTATAAGATGTTTGGGTGTGCCTTCCTCATGTTAGTTATCATCCATAAGCCTAAGTTTTGAGTAGCGTTTATGAATTTATTTTTTCTTTTTGGGTAGAAAAGGGGACCATACTGAATACTAGCAGAGTCCAAGAGCTGCCTTTTTCCCTCAAAAAGCAGGTAGTCTGGAATGATAGGAAAGGCCCAGTTTTTCTGAATTAATCATTCCCTTTATTCTATGAAGTTGGTGATTCCCATGAGAGGAAGCAGTTCTGTGAGCTATGCCTCCTGTTTCTGTTGCCTTTCTTGTAATGAGAAGGACTAAGAGTGGCATGTTAATAATTGTAATGTAGTCTCCAAGATTTCATTCCTTAATCACATTTGGGAAAGTAAATTGAATTAAAGAATAATTTTCACCTGAAGTTTTAGAAGAGAAATAATCATTGCCATTTTGTATCAGTAGCTTTTCTTTGAGAAGGTGACAGCTATCCTCTTGAGTGGTTTTGTAAAAGTGGTGCTAATGTGTATAACCTTCAATTTTTCTTTTTTTCTTCCTCTCCCTTTAACATTTGCTTTTCCTTTCACTGTTGTCAGTCACAACATGCTGCTCTTGAATCTCTCAGCTGGTCTTGACTCGTGATTTTACTTATGCTTTCACTCTTCTTTAATAAATACATTACTTGCAAGCAGTGAATTGAAAACAAGACAAAAATAAATAAATAAAACGACCATTAGTGATTGGACAGTTTCTTACTTTGTGTTACATTTAACTGTTCTTTTGACAGCCCAGTTTTTAAAGCCAGGTTCGTATGGAAATGCTTTCACTCCACTTGCACTGCTTTTGGAAATAGCATACTGCTTCATCTGTCTGTTTATTTTAGTGCATTCATAATATAACACAGTCAGCATAATGTCTCATCTCTACTTAACCATAAATTGAGTTTTCCTAAATAAAAAAACAGGGCAACAATTTTTGTCAGCGTTGTTTAGTATCCAAAATCTCTGTGCCAAGTATAGTTACATTAGCCTATTAAAAGATTAAACATTTATTTAAATCAATCAAATAATCTTAGAGTCGTTCTACTATCCTTGTCCTTTCTAGGGTTATCAGTTGTAGGAATTATGTTATGAAACAAGAATTTTATGTACAGGTAAGTTTATTTTCATGGTAGTAAAACAAGAGCCTTTTTACCATTTCCTTTTCTGCTAATATTACTTATATTAAGAACTTTATTCTTTTTTTGATAATAAAGTTATTTATAAATAAATGCTCAATACTAATTAAAGGGATACTCTTCCTAGCAGTTCAGTTGGGAGGGGAGAAGGGAAGGAGAAAAGAGAGGCAGCAGTGTTAGATTTAAGTTGTTTGATGTCTCATAATGTAGACATCATCTCCTGGAATTACATCTACCATAGAGCTTTCTAGTAATTCTTTTTTCTAGCAAAAGTAATTTCTAGTGACCTTTTGAAGATTATCATGATTTTGTAAATACACCTACTCCTCACTTATCTATATGGTTGTGATCCAAAGACCACATTGTTACACAAAAATTGACATTATGAGAAAATGGAGGATGACCACATCAGATCACAAACCGGAGGATGATTCCATCATTATATAGCTGCCAGATCACATCATTACATAACTGCCAAACCACTGAGAATCGTGGGCCAGCCAGGTTGACATAGCCACCATTAACTCTAGCCCTGTGCCTCAGCATTCATTACTGCCAGATGTACATCGTTAGTGTACAGAATAGTTGGCAGATACCTTACTGTTGCCGTAAATGGAAAATATCGGCTAATGATAATGAAGTAGTAGATAAATGAGGAGTAGGTGTATATATATATTTAAAACAATTGTATCTTTTGTTTTAGAAACAAATTTTTCATTGTCATGAAGTACTGTTCCCTTATTGCTTGGCCTATTTCATTTTGACATTTTAGTAAGTTTCATCTTCTAAAAAGTATCTTGATATTTTCCCACCCCATCAGTGAAATGTCTGTTCAGCTCAGTTTTCTGATTCACATGCGGTCATAAATTTATAGAAGGAAGTTGTCTTTAAAAAACAAAACAAAAACAGCATTGAGGAGACTCTCTCTTAACTTTCTGTCATAGAAGATAAGAGTAAAATAATTATATTCTCTTCTCTATGAAAGAAGCATTTTATCATTGAATTATGGAGCTGAAAAGTAAAAAGCAGTTTATGGAATATTTGGTTTTAATTCAGAGATTTGGAGTTTTAGCTTTAAAATTAATTTCAGGAAATAAGAGATTATTTTCAAATGGTGATATCAGAGTAATACTACACATTTACATTTTTTATGCATAAAGAACACTTTGTGTTTATAATTTTTAAATGTTTCCCAGCAGACGAGTAGCATCATTTTATCTGATTCAGTTAATGATTATTTTAGCTTTGTCTTGCTGCTTCATGGTAACTGCAGAAATCAAAGAATTGGACACAAAAGGCCGTAGAGATTTCTGAGACCTAGACCCTTTACACAGAAGCTGGCATTTTATTGTTGTTTCTGAGATCTTTTTATGCAGTTTACATTGAAATACCTTTTCCATTGTGCTCCTAGGAAGATGAGACATTATGTATGTTGTTTTTTTTTCCCCCTACATGCACTAATGGTTCTTTACTGTTAACTTATTGCTAGGCCTGTTTCATTCTAACATTTTAGCATTTTTGTTAGATTACATGTTGAAATGCATCACTCAGTCTGTGCTTGAGCTCATTTTATTTTTCTGTTTAATCAATTTAATTTCTTGTTGTACTAACCTCACTGTTTTTTCAGTTTAATATTGGCTGCATGCTAGTTAAATATTATATATATATTTTTAAAAAACCAATCAAGTCTAGCCTCGATTTTGCTCTGATTGTGTTTTCATTTCTAGTGGTGGGGCAGTCTTACACTTACAACTTACTTTGTCTCATGAAAGCCTGACACATAAACAAAACAACTAAATACAATATAGATTTTCTTTAAAAAGAAATCTTAAAGTGGTGCTGTCTAGGTGGTGGATATGATTGTACCTTGATTATATGGTTTTTAATGTTAGTTTTAAACTTCATAAATGTATTCCTCCCCCTTTCCCTTTTCCCCTTTTTCTCCTTTTTAGTGTTATGTACAAAAGTTGCCCAGCACACCATCAGAAAGGACCCTTACCCCATATGTTCTTCCCATATAAAATACTAGGCCAGCATTTCTTTTTACATTAATGTCCCTTTTATTGGGCACATTTACCCTATTATTAGCACCTTTTGCATGCATATATGTAGAATTATCTCTTGCTCATCACCTGTTTAAATGTCACTAGGAAGGGAAGAATATATTATTGGAATATTTTTGGTTTGTCTCTCTGTTCTGTCTGTCAGGATAATATTGGACACCGCTTACTCCAGAAACATGGGTGGAAGCTGGGCCAGGGATTGGGAAAATCTCTTCAAGGTAAGTTTTTTAAATTTATAGGGAAAAAGAAAACAATGGTTTTGATGCAGATCTCGTGCCTGATTATGTTTGTTGTCTTTTTTTTTTTTTTTTTTTTTAATGTTTGGATTATTTTCCCCCTGTTCCCTGCTGCCCCCTCTAAAATAGTCTTTTTTCCTATGACTGTATTTTAGGTCACTTTTAAGCCTCCATATTTGCTAATAATTTGCAAGAGTAAGCTGCTTTGTCATTAAAGCTTCCAGGTTAAACTGTGTGTGACTCAATCAGTTTTACATTTTTATTATTATTATTTTTCTTTGGTAGGGGGGTGATGGGTAGATAGAATAAAGGAATAAATAGTAAGTATCAGAGTGTGCCTTCTTGTGTCATTTAGTGACTTTGTGTTGTAGTCTTCTGTATTATCAAGAGAATTTTCAACAGCAGAGTTTAAATTTTGTCCTCCTGAGTTCTCCCTGAAGCCTATGATTGTCCTGGGTATTTTGTTCTGTAATCAGAATCCATGTAGTGGTGGAGAGAAAAATTGACCCACATGAAACTTAAAATGAGGTTTCCTAGGGTCAGAGAGAGGCCATTTCTCAGGTTCAGATCAGGTTCTGGAAAATGTATAATTTAAAGTTTCGACTGAATTTATTTTCCTTTTAATTATACTGATCATTTGGATTAAAATAATAATAATAATAATTCTGCTTCAGAGTTCTTCCTAGTTGGAAACCAGTCAATTCCATTCACTTTTTAGCTCTCTCAGATTCGAGAGCTATTCTTTGTAGATGTGTGAACACTACCTCAGAGATGATGGGACTCACTGTGTTGTACATCTGATCTTGGAAGGGTTCATTGTCTAAAGTGATCTTTAGGAGTAATGGTGTGCTAACTGACTAACTCTTTTAATTTTGGAAAAGGATTTCCATAGTTTGAATGTGGAAATCTAATCAATTTAAGTGTGTCTGTAAAGGGAACAAGAGGACATAGAATGAAGTGGGACATTTCAGCTATCATAACTTTTTCTTTTTAAATTCTGCTTCTACACATTCCATCCAGTGTTGACACATACCAAAAACCAAAACCAGAGTCACTGCCACCGAGTCAGATGCAAGTCGTAGCGACCCCTCCTTGGGTTTCTGAGGTGATATCACTATGGAAGTAGAGTGCCCAACAATCTTCCTTCCAGGGAGTGGCTGGTGGGTTTGAACCACCAGCCTTCTGGTTAGCAGTCAAATGCCTTAGGCACTACGCTACCAGAGCTCATATGTTGTTGTTGTTGTTATGTGCCATCGAGTCAGACCTGACTCATAGCGACCCCTCCTTGGGTTTCCAAGGCAGTATCACTGTGGAAGTATTTTGCCCAACCTTCCTTCCAAGGAGTGGCTGGTGGACTTGAACCACCAGCCTTCTGGTTAGCAGTCAAGTGCCTTAGGCATTATGCTACCAGAGCTCCTAGAGCTCATATAGGAGATGCTTAATAAATATATTTTGAATGAATATTTAGGACTAAGCATCGATCTGTTTTTTGTGGAGATATATAAAGATTTGATTACCATAAAACTTATTTCCAAGTGGCACAAGAACTCATTGTGAACAATACAAGGAATACTCTGTGATTAAGAACAATTTGTATGGCATAAACCAAAGATTTTTAAGAGTCTGGAAGAGATAGGATAATCAGGACTGAAGTAAAAAAAGATTCTTGATAGAATTTGTCTAGTGGTTTGCATACTTGAAAGTGTTGGATTGAATTCAATGGAGATGATTACTGAGAAGAAGATCTGAAGACTGAATTTGATTCTCTCTTCCTACTTGACACTTTTTTTTTTTTTTCCTACATAGGGATACCCAGGAACATAGTTACTTCCTTGGTCAGGTACCCAGGGAGTACAGTTTTGGGGTATTTCATAGGGGCTAGCAAATCTGTTTGAATCCCAGAATTTTTCATTGTAAGGACCAGAAACAAGAGACTAGAGACACAACTAGAGCCTGCAGTATTTAATTTAATTTATTTTTTTTAGTATTTTATTTTTTAAGAAAGGAATTTTTGATACCCAGCAGTCTTTTGATGATACAGGATTTTTTATTTTATTTTTAGGAACACTTTAGAACTTGGATTCTTTTTCAACTTTGAAAAGAGGAATTAGGTGTTACTCCTATTTTACTTCCATCTCTTCTCATGGTAATAGGCATATAGTAAGCATTCATTAACTCATAAATCTATTATTCATGTTAAATTCAAGGGAGTTGTGATGCCAGTCTGCTTTGAGTGGCTAGTACAGTATTTTTACCCTTCAAAAAGAATGGAACCTTATTCTATTGCCAGCATTGAGGGCCAAATTTAATAGTCTCATAAATGGCTCTATATCTTCTTGCTGAGATTCAACAGTGTGCAGGCATTGTGCTGGTTTCTTTCACATGCTTTTTATTTCTGTAATACCCACATATATGACCTAGAGCATAACCACATTTATGGTATATTGAGGCAGTTTATGATAAGATTGTTTGTTGTACTAAACCTTTGCCATAAATAACCCCTGTAGAAAGCCCTTGTCCCTTTAGTGAAAATAATAGTGTCTCCTCAGTATTGTACATACTTGTCGCTGCATGTAATTTCTAGGCACGTGGCTTTGTAAGAGGTCTTTAGATTTATTAGTTTACTGTCAACTTCCTGTTTTCCTTTTTATTTGAATTTCGAACTCTAAGTAACATAAAGTAAACCACTAAAATTTAGACCTGATCTCTTTGGGCTTTTTTGTTAAAAGTTTAAAAATTATTTTGACCCATGCAAGGTTTTTATTAACAGTACCAGTCCTTGGGATAGAGAGCAGCTATCTCAAATCATTGGATAGACTGGAGAACAGGGCATGCTGACTCCTGAACAAAGATATCTATGGCAGGATAGAAAATTATTCTTCATAAGCTATGTTTAGTTTAATATTTGAATTTTATTATTATTCACCTTTGTTCTCCATATTTACTAAAATACTTCAGAAGTTAAAAAAAACTGATTCTGTGTAGTCGGTAAGTGTTAAGACTAAAAAATAAGTACCTGTAGAAAAGATAGGATGACAAGGTATCTGTAGCAAACAACACAAAGACCCATTGACAAGAAATACAAATAATTGTTTGTTGTAGAGGCAGGAGGTGTGTTTAATTTGGAATAAAGTAACTGTGGATGGTAGTTATATTTTGTGGAGTTGTACTTGATTCAGTTCTAAAGATTGTTATATAACTTTCTGGCAGCTATGAAATAAAATGGAATAATTTACCTCAAAATCTTTATTTTTGTTATGAAATATGTTTATAATCAGTAGGTGCAGTCCATAATGGTTGCCTAAACTTCTTTGTTGTGTAGTCTTAAGAGATAGTTGATGATTTGGCTGCTGATTTGGTGTCAAACAGAAGTTCAGCCCTAGGAAAGGGACAGTGAAGTCAGGTATTTCATGTCACCTTGTCTAGAAGGTTCAATCAATAATAATTAGACAAAAACAAACCCACTGCCATCAAGTCCATTCTGATGCATAATGACCCTGTGGGACAGAGTAGAATTGCCCATAGTGTTTCCAAGGCTGTAAATTGTTACAGAAGTAGATTACCTCATCTTTCTCCCACAGAACAGCTGATGGGTTCAAACCACCAACCTTTTGGTTAGTAGCTGAATGCCTTAACTACTGTACCACTAGAACTCCTTAATAATTAGACAGCCAACAGATTTTTTGAGCTAATAATAATATATTTCAGTCATGCAGACCATACATAAAGTAACATAAGACATGGACATAGTAGATAAGATATAGTTCCTGCCTTTCAGGCTTACTTTCTGTTCCTCTAAGTCTTGCTTTTTTTTTTTTTTTTAAACTACTATAGACCTTTGAAGGTTTCCCAAGACCAGGGACCATGTCTTATACTTCCGTATCTTCCTTCCATACTTAAAAGGAAGTATATGATGAGTCTGAATATTTAACTGACAAATTGTTTCAAGCTTCTTGAGAATAGAAATTATCATTCATTTTTGTGTAAAAGTACTTGGTGCAAGGTATGAAGGCAGTATCTTAACAGCATTTGAATTTGGCTCTGACAGTTCCTTTAAGTAAAGGGGACAAGTTACTATCCTTGAATTATTCTCAGCACTAAATGGGAATTAAAATCTTTGCCCATCTTCTCACAGAGTGGTTATGAGGGTATATGAAGTAAATCAATGTAATTAAGTTATTTTATAAAACCTGTAAAATGCTATTTAAATATTGTTATTAACACTTCTGTAGTATAGTGCATATTTATTTTGACTGAAGGAAGAGATTATCTATTTTTCGGTCTTAATGAGAAACCTAAATATTATAAAAATCATAAATAGAGAAGCCACTGTCTTGCTACTCTTATGTCCCAGAATTAACAGCAATAGTAGTTAATATACTTAATATATAGTAGGTATTTGGCTCTAGGATTTGTGCTTTTAATACTATATGCATTTTAGGATCCCAAAGCCCGAATTTTGCTATCTGTCTCACTTACTCTGAGCCTAACTTATAACATCTAAAAAGAGCCTCAGTCATACAACAGAGGTATTAGATCAACTGGATAGCAACCCAGAAAGAAAATAAAGTTGGATCCCCACTGTTATGCCTTAACTCAAATATATTCTAGAAGAATCAAAGATTTAAATGTGAAAAATGAATGATAAAATTATTGGGATGACTAATGGGAGAATTACTGTGTTTAGTAATCTTGGAATGAGGAAGACCTCTCTAAATTTAACTCAGACCCCAAAAGCCATTAAGTAAAGGATGAATTTGGTTATATTTCATCATAAATAAAATTGAACAACAAATAACAAACTGGGAGGAATATCTACAATATCTCATTATAGACAAAGAACATTTCTTTCATGTGTTTATCAATATGAAAAAGGTTTAAATAGAAAAATGTGAAATGATATGAATACTGTTTACAGCAAAGTAATGTACATGGCCTTTAAATGTGAAAATATTTTCAGACCATCTCATAATAAGAGATAT